GGCCATGGAGGACTTCACAGGAGGAGTGACAGAGTTTTTTGAGATCAAGGATGCTCCCAGAGACATGTACAAGATCATGAAGAAAGCTATTGAGAGAGGCTCCCTCATGGGCTGCTCCATTGATGTAAGTCTGGGGTGTGGGGTGCAAGGATGGGAGGAGCCAAATATCGGGAAGCCTTACCCAATGAATAGCAGCATAAGGCTCTCCTTTGGGATGGGGTGAATGTTTTGTTTTAGGAACAGCTCTCAATTTTGACAATTGGGAATTTCTCAAGGGAGAAGAGTTCCTAGGGATTTTCGATAAACAGGTTGGACAAGGGCATTCCAAGCCCTGCAATACTGGAAATACGTCCAGAGGCCCCTGTCAGTATGGGCCTTTGTGTCCGCAACTGTTCAGCTCCAGCATGCCCCCATTAAGCTGGCCACATACTTGGCTATGGACCTGAGTCCACCAGTTCCCCAAGAAAGCCTCCCAATCCTTGAGCCTTGATTGCATCTCTCACTTGGGGCTTTGTGTTATAATCTGGGAGAAGCTCGGTCTGCAGTGCCCCTCTCAGTGCAACAAAGTGGCTTGAATTGAGACCAGAGACAAGGGAAAAGAGATGGTAAACTGGCCAGGCCTCCTGAATTTCAAGAGACACACCTGCCGTGGGGGGGTGCTCAATGTGTAATAGTCTTAGGTACTTTCCTTTGTAAAGGAAGGAGCCCAAGCTGAATTCCTGTTCCTTTCTTTCCCAATACTCCCAATGGATAGGAGGGCTTGGGAAGATCAGCTAGCATAACACATTTGTAGATGAACATTTTCTGTCTGTATCACTTTTCTCCATATTTTCTCCATTCATGTTCTATTTATCTCTCCTCTTTTCTTTTGTCTGTCCCCTCCCTTTCTTCTGTCTCCTTCCCTTTTTATCACCCTCCTTTGTTTGCTCTATCTCCCTCTCCTGGATTGCACCCTGCCCTCCCTGTTGGGCCTCAGGATGGCACAAATATGACCTATGGAACCTCTCCTTCTGGGCTGAATATGGGAGAGTTGATTGCACGGATGGTGAGGCATATGGATAACTCGCTGCTCAGGGACTCAGACCTCGTCCCCACAGGCTCAGAAGACAGACCGACCAGGGTGTGTACACCTCCAATTGTCAGGACTGACCATCCCTCCAATCTGCATAACCCCGCCCTGTTGGCGCCACACTCCCCTCAGCAGCAAGTGCCTTACACACAGATCCCCTACCTGGGGCCTTCCAGGGGGCCTGGGGTGGAATAACTTACCCACTCCAAGGCTCTGAAGAAGGTGGGAGAGAGGATTTGGAGGGAATCTCCGTGGGAGTTCCTTCATCCTCCATGGTCCAGGCAGTTTCTCTGATAACAAATTAACAGGAAGAAATATGAGAGACTTCATTTATTTTAAAGTGTTTCTTCTCTTCTAATTCATTCATTTATTCATTCAACACATATATATTGAGCTCCTATTAGGCGCCAAGCACTCATCTAGCAAATGAAGAAAATTCTCTCTCCTTTGTTCACTAAAGCAAATCCTCTCCTCTAATAGAGTTTATATTCTAGTACTTTCAGAAGTAATAGTGCTCACTGAAGAATACTGAGCCATATAGTAAAGCAGAAGAAACATGAACCTATCTAAATTCACCCCATCTAAATTAACCCCACACCTATCTTCATTAATATTTGGTATATGTCCTTCTAGGATTTTTCCACGCATACACTTAATCTAAATTTTTATTTTGAAAATGTTGTTGTACTGTATGTACCTCTTTGCAACATGCTTTTTTTCCCCAGTTAGCTTTATATTCTTAATGGGCCAATAAGAATGATGTTCTTAATGTGTCTCCTATAATATCTAAGGGTCTTCTCATCGCCAGGAGGCACACTTTCCGACTGTGGAGGAGCCCTTGTCCTCACAGAACCCAGAAGATGAACCAGTATGAACTGTCTCAGGCTACAGGACTTTTGCCCCCCAGCCCCTGACAGACTGTCTGGTTTTTGTTCCACAGACAATTGTTCCAGTTCACTATGAGACAAGAATGGCCTGTGGGCTCGTCAAGGGCCATGCCTACTCTGTCACTGGGCTGGAGGAGGTGAGTTGGTGGGGTTTGGAGAGGCGGGACTTGAGGAGCTACCTGAATCAAGCTCCCAAAGTCAGGGCTTAGCTTTCTGTCCCTTCACATCTGCAGAGCTTGCCTCCAATCAGGAGATCTGCTCAAGGCTCAGGCTAAATTCCTGGGGTGTGAGAGGACCGTTTGGACTGGTAGGAGTGGATCTTGCCACCAGATGCTGCTCCGTTGATCTTTGTTTTTAGTGCTAAAGGTGGCGATTTCCCCAACATTTCCAAGGAACAAATAGAAATCACTTTGGTCTTATGAAGTTGATTTCATGGACCCTCTTGCTTCCTGTTGTCTCATGGCCAAACAATTATGGTTTTGCTCCTGGGACATCTGGCCTTTACTGGGTCATGTCAGAGACAGGAACCTTTTCAGACCCACTGTGTATATTTGGGTAGAGCTAGGCAGTCCTCTGCAGCAGCCCATACAGCAGACTGCAGGAAGGGGCACTTTTTCTGATTGGTCCATCTACATAGGACATTTGTCTGTAGTTCCTCAGGCAGTAGGGACATTTTTCCTAATTCACACAAAGATACCTAATGTGCTAGTTGGGGCCCTACAGTATATGCCCTGCCTCCATCCACAAAGCTCATAATGGCTGGATGTTCACTGGGAAAATCACTTCTGAGAAGATGGTGAGGCGATGGCCAAGTCCCACAGACTTGGTCCTCAGGTTCTGACCTCTCACCATGCCATTCCACAGGGAGCTTCTGATTAGTCTCCTTGACCAGGACCAGGCAAGACAGCCCCCTGGATGGGATTCTCCCCCCATCCCTGTCCCAGTCCTCAGGGCACGACAGAAAAATCTCCCTTTCCAGAAAATCCCCAGAGAGTGAGAGCTTTTTCTCTTTGCCCAAGACCCTGTTCAAGGATGAGAAAGTGAAGTTGGTGCGGCTGCGGAATCCCTGGGGCCAGGTGGAGTGGACCGGCTCCTGGAGTGACGGGTAGGTGAGGGGGAATTCCACAAGCAGGGACAACAGGGCCTGCGGCAAGGCTGGGTGGGTACAAAGCCTCCACAGTACAAATGCTTGATCTACAATTACCCTCAAAACCAATGATCCACAAAAGAGAAGAGGGGATGTGGGCTCCAGGGAAGGGCTAGGAACGGAGCCAGGAGCACCTGGGAGCCAGAGAATTTGCTGATGTCCATTGTCTGGAAAGGAAAGATTCTAGAAAGCATGGGCTAGGTCCAGGTAGGAGGGGAGTCTTAATGCAGGGGTCTGGACTGGACAAGTGATTTCCCTTCTCAAATTCCCAGTTGTCTTATCTGTAAAATGGGAACAATATCAGCACTTCCCTGGTGGGCTGTTATGAGGAGAAAGTGTGACCATGTCTGGAGAGTACTTAGNTTTTAATTAATTTTTGGGAGGAGGTTTTCAAAACAGTATGTGCTGGTGATTGATTCATTTAATTTCTGTTCCTCCCACATTTCCCATTAGTTCTTTGCCTTGTGTCACAGGAGGTAGGCCTCATCCCACAGCCTCCCCTCTAGAGTCTCAAGGACATTTACACACGCCACTCAGGAAGATAAAAGCCCTGCTTTTGTCTGTTCCCATCTTCCTAAAAAGATAGCTCTGAAATTGCCTGTGTACCAAGCATGTCCCTTGGGCATGTAGAATCTATACATGCACACAAAATGCCTTACCAAAAAGAACACTTGTAACGCGAACTCTTGTTTAAATTGCCTCAGAATAGCTCCATATTAAAGGAGTCTTTCAACAAAGAGGATATTTGCCATGTGGATAAGCATCCAATTTTCTGTTTGGTCAGTTTGCTGTTCCATCAGGCCTTCCTCTCTCTGCCTCTTGTTCAGGAAGTATTATCTTTCGTGTGGGCTGCTAAAAGCTTTGTGAAGTAAAGTTGGAGAGAACATTGAGGGACATACTTTAAAACTCGAGGGTAAAGGGCACGGACCAAATGGAATCTGACTAATTTGGATCCCAGAAGGAGAAACTAAGGAGGTTTTGGATATCTAGATTCCTGCACCTGAGGAAAGGCTGTGTGTGGAGCCCTGAACAAGCTAGTGATCTGGGCCTTCTAACTGATACGCTATTTCAAAGGAAAGCCTGGCTGCTTCAGTGGGAACCAGGGAACAGGGGCTGCTGGCAGCTCTCAGCCTCCCCTCTGCAGTCCCAAAGTTGCTATCACATCCCACAGAGCAAAATAAAGGCCTTACATAACAGCCTATTCTCCTTAGAAAGCATTCTGTGACTGTCAATGTACAGATGTGCCCCTTGGGCACACACACACACATACACACACACACACACACACACACACACACGCGCACACACACACACGCACTCGCACACACACAGAAAAGTGTCACCTCAGACTGTATACAGTACTCTGCCAGAAACAAAGCTCAGAGAATATGTCCCCATCTCATTCCGTTGCCAGCAATGTCTTAGCACCCTCTACAGACTGGTTCCAGGGCAGCAGCCTAACTGGCTTTCCTTACAAGACAAACCCACTTGACTGATGGCTCTTAGTCTCCACTTAGGTCAGATGGGGAAATGCCCTGTAACTCACGCTGTGAAGATACAGGGCAGTGTGGATTTCCCACAGGTGTTAGGAAGAGCCACCCAGTTATGACCTACTACTCTGTCTCCATTGAGGCCCCAAAAGGAAGTGAGCTTATACGGCTGATGGAGGAATTGCCTACAGCCTTCAGGAAAACCAGGGTATACCTTATTGTCAAGGGATTGCTGTCAAATTCCTTCCCTGGTTGAAACCTCTGTATGGTCAGGTCTGGAAGTAGGACAGTGAGCACCACTTGAACTCTGTTCCTCAGAGAAGAAGAGCAGCCTGCTGGGATTGGGTCTCTTTCTTTCCTGGAGATGCAGGCCACTCCTATGACCTGTACCACATGTTTGCCTACAGGTGACTGCTGGTTTCTCGCAGCCATTGCTTGCCTGACCCTGAACGAGCACCTGCTTTTCCGAGTCATACCCCATGATCAGAGTTTTACCGAAAACTACGCGGGGATCTTCCACTTCCAGGTGANTCCATCATTGACAGACCCAGTATCCAAGCTAAATTATAGCCAAAGGAGTCGCTAGAGGTTTCTCAGTAGCTTAGGTGCCCAAGCGAAAATGACAGAGCTGGGACCATTTACTCTCTGTTCATATCAACCAACATAATCAGGTCTCAGACACTCTAGGGAATATTTACACAATGTTTATAAATAGATGGTGGGGAAGAGGTATCCGAGCAAATCAGAGATTTTTGTTTATGAGTTAACCCTCAACAAGCTTGGTAACTGATCCTCACCAAACAGACATCTCTTATGGGGACCAACAGTTGAGAGTCACTAGGCTTTGGGTTTCTTAGAGGGCAAATAGGGATGATTTACCATTTTTATTGTATCCTTAATTCCCTCAGCTCTGTACATACATGGGGGCTCAATTAATATTTGGTGAATTTAGCTGAGGTAGTGTTGAAGGTAAATGTGCTATCTTGGGGAATCTCTACTACTATAAAAAAATGTAACTCCCTTCAAAAACCTGGACCTCCAAACAGAAGAGATATCAGTATAGTTGCAGCTGCCTTCCCAAGTAGTCAGCCCTAGAATTGGTGGGAGGTGGGAGGATAAGGAGTGCTTCTGAACTTACAGACCAAGGAGAGGAAGCTACACCTGTGACAGCTAAAAAATGTAGCTAAAATTCCAGTATTTGAATTACTCTATAATATATCCCTTATAACAGGGGCAGAACATAAAGTAGCCAAGTGTCTCAGCTGGCAAGTAACAGAGGCCCAACTCTAATTAGTTTAAACCATAAAAGCTCATACAACTTGAATGTTATCAAGACATAATCCCTAACATTATCTATCTATCTATCTATCTATCTATCTATCTATCTATCTATCTATCTATCTAGTTAGATAGCTAGCTATCATCTATCACTTCCCTCCTCTTGACCCCCTACTCCTCCATCTGTTTCCTCTGAGTAGGCTTCATTCTCAAGAAGGCTAACTTCACAATGGAGCAAAGATGCCACAGGCAGCTTCAGACTGACCAGCTTAGCAACTCCCAGCAGAAGGATGTATTTTTTTCTCAATAGTTACAACAAAAGTCTTGGCCTATATCTCATTGGCCCAGATTTGGTCATGTGCCCATCCTGAACCAATCACTCTCACTCTAATTGCCCCTATTATATATGGGGAGCTGGGTGAAGGGGGAAGCACATCAGAACAACATGGGATGACAGGAGGGCTGCTCCCCACTGAGGTATAATCCCAGGAGAAGGGGGATTGTATTTTAAGGAGGCAAAACACTGG